AGTTATGGTGGGTAATTTTCTGTAAACATCAGCTCAATGTGCAGACACAGTCAAGGAATTAAACAGAACAGTAGGGATTAGTAGGAAAGGAGCGTATAAAAAGTATGAAGAGCGTAGAAGATAAAAGAATTATGCCACTCAATCCGTGGTAGACCTGCCTTCAACGCACAGAGGGCAAGTCTGGCTTTCTAACCTGGAAAGGAGTATAATAGACAGAAAAAATGTAGAGGTGGACAATAAGAAGGATTAAGTATAGTTTCTGTATAAAGAACAGCAGGATAGATTAGGAGTCTTTAACCCAGAGGTCTGTAAAAGCAGAAGGATATAGAGAGGGATGTGGTTGTTCACGTCCTCTCCCATTCAAAAAGCAGGTTAGCTAAGTTCTGCTGTGGTATTTTAGGTACAGAAGTTCTGTCACAAGCAATCACATTACTTGCATACTCTTTATAATGCAGCCAAGGATAATAAGCTTCTGAATATTGAGCAGGTATCTTCATTGTTCTGTGAGTAATGACTAGGAATAGCAGGACTTCTTTGTTTAGATTTTAATCCAGGGAGAAAGGAGAAATGTCACTGGAAGAATGTGGTATTCATGAGAGGCAGTGGCTGGAAGCTTGGCATATTATGGTTACTGGGAGGATGAATCTTGAAAATGTATGGGTTCACATCTCAGCAAAAATGTTCATTGATGTGAAAAAGTAGTTGAAAAGGTGTGCAAAATCTGAAACTCCAGGAACCTTGCCTTTTCTTTTTTAATGACCTGAGATCATTGTTTTGTCAGCAGAGGAAATAATCTACTGCCCTTTTTTGGCTTTGCATAGCTCTTTACAAAGAAGCCAACTAATTGTTCTACTGAAAATCCAATGTTACTACAACATTACTGTTCATCAGAGGCAGAAGTGTGAGGCATCGTGTTTGTTTAATACTTTATGGTCTCAGAATTTGCCCGTGAAGGGATCTCAGTTCTTATTTGTTGGAAGTCAAGGCGTAAGCAAGTACTCATCACAAATATGATCATTTTCTGAGTGAGATAAAGTACACTAATACTGGCTATGTAGTCATTATGTAATGCTCAAGACAAAAAAATCTATATAATCCAGTCAGAGCATTATTAGCTAGCTTCTAGTATTGCATGTACCTTGGCAGATGCAAGATTGTATTACTTTATCAAACAAGTCCCTGTGATTATTCTTTAAGCTGAATGGAGATGCTAACACACTTTGGTATTATGCTTTGTGGTGCTCCAACAAAAAAAAAAAACAAAACACCAAAGCATTCCCTTTAATTGTGCATGTCAACCTAAATTTAACTATTTCATAATAACAGTTTCTCACTTGTAAATCCACAGTAAAAGACTTGGTTATACTACCTTTCAACAAGATCCCCCTTTCCTACATCTCTTTAAGACATTTATGACTGAACAATGTATGTACAGCACAGTTCGTATTTACCATGTCTGTTCTAATTTTAGATGTCTCTCCTCCTCATCCTCAGAGCTGGTTTCTTAAATGCCTGAAATAGCCCTTAGATTGCCCACAATTAAGTGGTCTGCCTTTAGCTCCCTGTTAAGGTGATCAGGTTTGTATCCAGAGGGACATAATGTGCAGATCCCTCTGAAGCTCAGCAGCATCTCAGGCAGACTGGACACACAGTTCATTAGCTCCATTTCACATAGGGGCTGAGTGTGCTACCTGAACAGGCATCCGATTCCTGCAGACATATTCTTGAGGGTAGGAGAACCAAACGGGTTGTTTCAAGTCCTGCTGCCGTAGTTGCTGGGCCCTCAAGGCTGTATTCTTATTTTCAGTGGAACTGGTTTGTCACAGTAGGCAGCAGATGGCCGGGTGGAACAGGATGCTCCTTTTCCTGCTCAAATACGTACAGAGAGCATACATGCTACCAATGTATAAAGAATAAATAAAAGATGTGCACTACTCCCAGACAAAGCAGGAGGAGAACAGGCAAGTGAGCCCTCTTCTTCTTTTCTCTGTAAAGTAGAAGAGTGCGATAGAAAAGTACAAAAAAAGATTGCTTCTTCCTAGTCATACCCGGAGAACACAGTCCATACAGCTCACTCAGAGATGGTGTGTAGGAGAAGTCATCCTAACGAAAATTCTTGAAAGGTGAGCCAGATGCATCTCCCTCACATACAGATAAAAAAGTTAACCGTGGCTGCTTCTGCAACAGTGGCAGAAGTTTCACTGAGAATGAAGAGGACTGGAAGGGGAAAGAAGATAAACATCCAAAGAACAGCAGCAGTACCAGCAGGAAAAATGGGTGTCTGGAGAGGTCTATTAAAAGGAAATCTGTGGTTCGCCTGGTAAACCAATAACCGAGAGGATGAGATCTGGAGGTTCTGGAGAGTGCTGAGAACATCAGTAGGTCTCTCATCTTGGGGAGATAAAAGTTAAATCTACCAGTACTAATCTTCCCAACTAAATCCACGTGTTTTCTGAGGATGGGTAGGTTACATGACTCCTGTTCCACAGCTAGATCACCTTTCAGAGAAGGATCTGTCCTTATTTCAATAGGATTTACCTTAATTGGAGGTAACATAATAATATAAAGTAATACAGAAGTCTTCTCTGTATAGATATTGCAATGTACAGAGTATCTTTTTATGAAGTTTCTTCTCAAAATAACAGATGTCCACGTATATGTTCATACACTTATATTTGTGTATGTTTATATATGTGTTTAAATAAGCTACATAGGGAGCTCTCAGTATCTTTTATTTTGCAGTTTAACTTTTTCAGTAGGAGTTGATCTCAAGAGTCATAAAAATACTATGCAAATGCAGTTTTTTCATTTTTTTCATATACCAAGGTTCCTGTTCTTTCAAATAATGTATAGGCTTTATGCTTAATTTTTCCTCATTTTTCTCGATCACAGTTTGCCAGCATCTTTTTCATTCTGGAGAGACGAGTATTTAGAACTGGGTGTGTTTTTAAAGATGACGTATTTCCCAGAAGGTTTTTTGGACAGACTGTAAAACACTGGTGGGTGTCTAGTAAAGTATAAGGTATTTAAGAGAGTAGTGAATATTCTCCAGTGCATCCATTTGCACCATCTCCTGACTGCCCTCACCTGTCGAACCCAGAAGTTACTGCTGCTGTAGCAGAAGCAGCAGGACACAATACACGTTTTCACCTCATTACTCCAGTTCACAGTCCAGAATATTAGTTAAGCCAACAATGAAGGTAACTTTGTGTGAAGACCCCAGACTGACAACTGGCGAAGCTAATGCACCAGTGGACATCCTTTTCTGCTGGCTGTGCTATGGAGGGTGGTAACGTCCAGCACAAGGAGTGGGCAGACTGGTAAAGGCAGTAGCATCTTCAAATGCCACGGCTTAATTATTCAAAAAGCGTCTGCCAGAGCATGTGCTCATGTGGAGCGTGTCTTCGGTGCATGAGTAGATCTAATAATTTTCCCAGTGTGTTATGATACCAACATTCAGAGAATCCAAAATCACATGGAACCTTTTTTCTTCTCCCATATGGCAATAAATGCCATGTTTTCTTTCTACTGTCACTTATAGCTCTTTCAGCTGTATAGTTTTCCAAATATCTCCCCCTCTCTGCTGAATCACTGCTGTACGGACAAGTGTTTCCTGGCACATGCGGTTCTGTTCTGAGCACTGCAAACGCCCGTGCGTGTGGGGGGCTCTTCGCGAATGGGTGGGGAGCCGGGAGCTGAGCATGGCAGCAGGGCCGGCAGAGCAGGGGTCTCTCCCTCCCCCAGCCCCCAAGTGAGGTCAGCAAGGCAGGCCTTGCAAGGCAACCCTTGCAAGCCAGCATGTGTTGACTGCGGTTGTGGCACATTTGAGTGGTGTTTGTAGTTCAGTGGAGCAGGCTTCTGGGTAAGCGGAAAGGAGCTAACCTAATTTTTTTTAGTACCATAGGCTAGTTTTGCAATGCTGTGTACTAGTGGGAGAGAAGCTGATGTAGATGTCAAGAACTTGCCCACACTCATCCTTGCACCATTTTAATGCAATCAATCTAAAATGATATACTTATTTGGTATCAAAGTGGTAGCGTACGGTGATATCGGAGTTGGGGCCATTCTCTTGCCATGCTGTCTTGCTTAAATGCACACATGCCACCTAGACAATGGTACCACCTGTACCATTACTGAGTGCTTCCCCTTGGCTGGTGTACAAAATGACATGGTAGGCCTGTGAGGGAAATGTCTGTTCTTTCACTGGCTGGTGAAATGATACTTTTGAGAGTTCAGGAATAGAGGTGGTGGTGAAGACACGCAAGAATTCATCCTTTCCATCTCTCCCCCAAAAGATTGACTTTGTACAGTCAATTTCTGTTTATTGAGATAAAGATGTTATATAAAAGTCTTAGGTAAATTATAACATTTATTCCAAATGAGACACAATTCTTGCTACCCTGTAAGGAAGTTGGGGTCTGGTTACACCAGCATATCTCCAAATCCACATGTAGCATGTTTTGTCCAGTTTGCATACACATAAGTGATAATAAATGGTGCAAAGAAGTGGAGATCCATACCATTTGTTTTGTTTTTATAAACCAGCAACTATGAAAGCCCATCATAGCTTTTTAAGAAGTTGCTAGAAGAATACGTTATTTTTAAACTTTGGAGTCCCTATAAATCAAAGCATGTTTTACCTGGAGGTTCTCTTTTTCCAAGTAAATGTAAAAAAATGTTCTTCTTTCTATGGGAAATCATTGTTTCCTCTTTTGTGAGTCATTTTGTTAAATTAGGGAAGCCTTGCAAAAAAGTCCTCATATAATGATAGTGTGTGAAAAATGTAAAATATAATTTAGGGTTTTTTTAAGATGAATGGCTTTTTCATTGTTTTATTGCTAATAGCAAATGCATTTCAAAATCAAAGTAACTTGTTAGAATCCACATCTTTACACTGCTACTGAAATTGTGTTTTGATTTCTTTGACATGATCCCTGATTGCTATGAGAAGAATCAGTTCAGTATTTTTGTTCTTAGATTCCCCCTCCTTTGTCTTGCAGCTACTTGTGGCAGATTCCATTAACAATTGCAGTAGGAAATACGAGCCACATCTCATCAGAGGCAATTATATGGGTGTCTAACAAATCAGGTAAAAAACAAACTTTCCTCCCAGTGGAATCTCATAAAGCATACTTGTGTTTTCCTCAACTGTTTCTTTGGAATTGATCCTAGATAATTGGTTAGTTGCTGTGCACCCAGTTTTAGCTAATTGAAATGAATTACAAAAAAAAGAGAGTTGGGAAGGGAGGGAGGAGGAATGAAGGATGAGCAACAAGCAAGCTTTATAATTATCGCAGAAGTTAGACAGTATAATGAAAAGCTTTTACATAGACGTGTGTACCTAAGTGCTAAGTATTTTATATTTGGCAACACATATCAAATCATTGATGAATGCAATTCACTTTATTGATTGGTGAAAGTTAAATGTAATATTTTTATAGCAAAGCATCTGATGAGTATGACTTAGTAAATGCAAAGTATTTAGAATTCTGGCATTTTTAACTCTGATCCATAGTCTGAACCAGGGCTAAGAAATGTTTACTGTTATTAATGTTTCCTTATTGATCTATCAAAGTATTTCTTCTCTCTATTAGATAACCAGATGCTGGACCTCAAAAGTATATTATTCTGCTTACTACTTATTTTCTCCCTCCTCAGTTCCTACGTGATCGTAATAGTTATTGTCCTGAGGACAGCTAGGGCTAGATACCAGTGTTTTTTTATCACCTAAAAAAGGAATCCCGCCATAGAAATTTCATGAAATATTTCTCTATTTCCTTAGCAGTTCATGCTACATCAGCTGACAGTTTTGGACTAGAATTGAAGAGAGTGAGGGAAGAAATGTGGAAACTTGAATAGAATGATTATATGGAAGGGAAAAGAAGGATCCATGCATCTACTCGACACATGGGCTGTAGAGGGAGAACTGACCCCTTCTTGTGAAATTAGAAGGATATAGAGGTTTCCCTCTGATAGAAATTTAACTGGAGAGAGGAGAGAGTCAAACCTGTATAAGCCTGTGTTTTTTCCTTTTTTTCTCTTTTATAAGTCACTGAAAGATAATAGTCACATAGAGCTTAGCAGCCAGCAGGAGTAGAAATGAATGGTGCACGATCAGTGGAAATCTGAGTATCCCAACTTTCTAGTGGTATAAGGTATGTGTTTTTTGCCCTGATTGTTTGCAGCCTATCAGAACATAACATGTTTTATGCTGCTCCTGTGATATAATGATCTAGAAATGTGCCTGGGACCGGGGCGCTTTTCATACCTGGGAAACATACTCTAGTCAGAGCATACAGGTGCTGCCTCACTTTGCAGAAATATATCGCATTGGCCATACTTTTTAATATTAACACCTCCGGAATACTTCAAAACCTGTTTACACTTTCACAGTCTGCCTTAATGACCTGCTCTACTTTTGTCCTTTAGGGCTTGATCGAACTCTCACTGAAGTTAATAGAAAGATTCCCACTGACTTCAGAGAGAGTTGATCATCTCATCTCATCTCACCTCATCTCATTAGGTTGTACATGCATGCCTCCTTCCCTTCACTCCTGCCTTGAAAGTTCAGTATATCACTATTATCTGCACAGTTGCTTCCTCATTGCCTTTTACTTGCAGAGTGCTCTGGAGGAACAAGTCCATAAAACCACTACCCACTCTTTTAAGATCTACTGCTCCTATCGGACTGCCTTCAAGAAATCAACAAATTAATGGTGGCCAGTGTGAGCAATGATTTTGGGGTGGCTGCTATATAGAAATTAAAGAGGAACCTTTCTGAGTCATCAGTTTCCTGTGTAGCGAATCAATGCCACTGTGATCTATTGTCATTATCCTTGTCCTTCCTTATTACTTTCTCACTCACTCACTCACTCACTCACTTGCTGTACCTCATTGAAAATGAGACTGTAAACTTATGACTACAGCAAGCATGTCCTCTTGCTTCTACTTATTGTTGTCTAGCTCAGCTGGAGAATTCGTCAACATAAAAAAGTCAGTAAGAACATCCCTGGATGTACTCAATGTATGATTCATTGTACGTGCTGTTATGTATTTGGGCTGGTTTAGATGATTTTGATACTCCTGGAGATTTTCTGCAGCTGTTATGTTTGCTTCATGGGGATGTGGGAGGGATTCTGAGACTGGAACGGATGGTTTCCAGGATTGACTCTTGTGGACGGGAAGAATCCTGAAGACTTTCTGTTGTGCAGAGGACACAGTTTCAGTGTTGTCCCAGTGAGTAGTCTGGGAACAACTCTGCAAGCTGGAGGTGAAACAAACTACTCCAGAGGATATTTGGAAGATTGAGAGTGGTCACATTGTTCTTCAAGTGAGTGTAATTGAATGCGGTACTCAAATCAAATTTGGAGGAAATGCTGTTCATGAGGATGGTTTCCATGCCCTCTTTAGGAAGGAGTAGGCTTTTCTGTCTTGTTGACTAAACTGCTGTGCTAAAGAAGCTTCCAGTGTAACCTGAAGAGTGGATAGGAGATGATGAACAGCTGTCTGTTTTCTGTTGTGTAATACTGATCACATACCTCATTTCAGCTGCCAATAATGAAGAGGGTCCATGTTAATGACTACCATTATGATACCTTGGCATATCACTTAAATTTTTCAATAAAATTAACCTTGTCTGTGTGTTATCTGAGAGAAAGGAAACCATGGCAGTTTTGAAATAGCTACATATATTGCCATCAAGAAATATTCCTTTTTTGTGGTAGTTTAAATAACAATTTCCCAGGGGAGTACACCCCCTGCCTTGCAGTAGAGTTCACCAGGGATGCTTGTTTGCTGATGGAAGAGTCTCTTCCTTCACATACATCCAGAAGGACAAGAGAGAGAATTACTGATTTTTACATCCTCTTTGCTACAGTGTCTGTGACCTCATCAAGGTATTGTAGGATGCCAGTTGGCATTTTCATGAACAAGGGATAAGAGACTGCTGTCCAGTCTTGTGAGAGCCACTGAATGTAGGATGCTTGGGTTGCTGCTCTCCACTCATCCTGACAGCATCTGGTTACATACTAGAGATAGTGAGGCATGCAGATCGATGATTGTTCAATATGCTGAGCAGGATTAGTTCAGATAATTTCAGATCATCCCAGCTGCTGGCAACAGAGCTCATTCTGTCCACTCTTCACAACGCCAAGGTGAAAGGACACATTGGAAATTACAACTATGCAGCATCTTTTTGAGATGTAATTCATTGTCCTTTACAACAAGTCCTGTAGAGAGGACAGTGCCAGGCCTTGGCAACTGGTCTGACAAAGTGCATAATCTCCAAGATGTTTCATATTCAGTGTAGCTCTTCACACCTGTTGGTGGAAAGTATGTAGTCATAGTTTTGGAAGGTTTTCATTTTGCAAGTGCTTCTGCCAGTCTCTCTCTTCTCCTCACCCAGTAAGCATTTATGTAACCATTTCTCTACTCATCAGTTCATATACCAGATGACCCTTTTACTGGCTCAGTTTGTCTGGGCATGTGAAATGGAGCTGTCTCTTCTGCTCTCAGAGTGCTGCACAGATATGTCACTACCACCTTTTTCCCTGTTCACTCCCCATAGCCATGGATGAGGATGTTCTGCTTCAGGTGAGTGACAGCTATTAAACCTCTGAAAACTAAACCAGTCACAAAGGAGACATCTCATGATTAGCCTTCCTATCCATGCTGAGGTCAGAGACATCACACTAAGATAGCTGCAATGCTCTTTGCGCTACAGTCTTGCAGCTCTGCTGAATGATAGATTTCACCGGCACTGTGGAAATCATTGGCGTTACAAACTTCTGCTCTGTCATAGATCCACGGCTGGTTTCTGTTCCTCCTAGATAAGTTGCCTCTATTGTGGTCGCTGTAATGATGTATGAACGTAATGTCCACAATGTTTTGGGATCAGCCCAAAATCAGAAGTGGATAAAAAGTCAACGACCAGCTTTGAACTCAGCCTGCCCCCACAAGACGACTGCTTAGCAGGGCTCGCGGGAAGGTGTTGGCGATTGCTGCTGAAGGCGTACTAAGTGTGGAAGCACAGGCTCACCTGTCGCGTCTCTGCAAATCCAGGAGAAGTGACCTTAACCTCATGTGAGGAGGTTTAGCTAGCATCCATTTCAAATGGGTGAGCAAGGCTTTGGACAAAGGCATACTTGCCGTTCCATGGACGTGACTGCTCTGGCACTCAGGCTCCAGGTAGCAAACATCTCCATGCGACTCAGCAAGTGCCACTGAACTGACTGACACAGCTTTACAGTCTGCCTCCCTGCCCTTCCCATCCCCACCTCCTGGACCTTGACTGGTTTGTTATGTCCCAGGGAAATACTCCTCTGATGGATCTCCCTGCCTCTGGTAAAATGACTCATTCAGACTCCTCTTAGTATCTCCACAGGATTGCCATGAGATGGGGGAAAGAAAGTTCAACAGGGCAATTGCCTTCCAAACAGCAAGTCCCAACTTACTACATTATGCCATCTCCTACTAGATAATCTCTGCTTTAACTGTAAGCCCCTTGACAGTCTGATTCTCCTCCATGAAGTGTTTTGTAGAAGACAGGTGCTTCTGAGCAGGGTTTGCAGGCTGCCCACCGGGAAATAGAGCATTAGTGCAGCATTAGAAAAATACCCTTTCTTTTCCTTTCTGAGACTCAGCTGCTGAGCTTGACCCGTGTTGCTTCCAGACTCCACTCTTTTATCTTTCAAAAGCGGGAGGAAGGGAAGCACTGTGAAGTAAAATAAATATATAGGTCCATCTTTACAACTTTAGCCAGCCATATATCCCCTTATCCCAACAGCTGAGCAAAGATCCTAACAGAAGACTGCTGCTTACATTGTGTATCACCTTAGGCATTAGCAGTTCCATCATATAGGAATGTTAATAGATGGAATGGTAGTCTGAGGAAAGAGTACGTGAGACAGAACATGATCATATTTCCTGATGTGCTCCATTTATTGTGTTGTTCACTATACCAAAACATTTTTTTTCAACATGGAGCTATGACAACATGGCAAGTGAGATGGAAAGAACTTTTTCTTCTGGTTTGCCTTCTCCCAGCAAGTATGAAAAGTTCTTGCAAAAAGATTTGCAGAATTTAGTTAAAGCCAGTATTTTTTCACAAAATATTGTGGTTGTGATGAAATCCCTCATGGAACATTTTCTTTGTCAGAAAAATTTCACTTGCATGAAATTGTGCTACTCTTGTGCAGTTATTTTTGCAGGAAAATGGAGTCAGTTCTCCCAGTAGGGATTCTACCAACATAAACCGATATCCTAGTATGCTGGGGGTTGTATAAATTGAGTTAAAATAGCAACTGTGAGTCTGAACACTTGAAACGGTAGTAGAACTGTGTTTAGCCCACGCTCTTGTCAGCATTGGAGTAGTGTCTTGCAGAGGGGTGCCCTTCACCCAGACCTGCCTCACAAGATGCTCATGTTGCCATACGGAGGAGC